ACATGATTTTATGTTCTTGAATTCAAATGAATATGGGAAGGATGATTATCGATTAAGATAAAATTTATCAGTAAAAAAATAACTGTAGCGGATTATAATGAGCTATTAAAGCATAAATATTGGGGTTGCCAAATTTATTCTTTCTTCCAGCTATTTTCTTAAACCTACAATCCTAGASAAAATTGAATGGGACAGAACGCTATTACTGCGCTCTAGCAGATGCACTCTCTTATGGGCTGTTTTAATGCTTACTCAAAGCCACCCCTCCCCCCACAGTCAATGTTGGTTAACAATGTTGTTGGCGGGAGTGCTTCGGTATGGAAGGAGAGTTTGTTTTGAGCTCAACATTGGAAATGGGGAGCCACAGGGAAAAAGCTGCCTAACGTTTAGTCGTGCATTGAGTAAAGTATTATGTCATGACGTCATTTTGGACCGACAGCGAATGACTAGGTAGTAAGCTATCATGATTTCATCATGACTATATGGCTCTAGTATAATTTCGTAAGTGAATATCATAATTCTAGCGATGATTRGTCGAATTTGACGCTTCAATGAGCAATGTTCACCTATAGGTGAATATTGGATTTTTGCGCAAAATGGCGTCGTCCGCGAGTTGGATTAAACAATTGGATTTAAAAAAAATTAGATTAATCCTTTTTACAGGTAAGTTTTGTTTATTTAATAATAAAAACATTGTCTAAAACTACTTTTTTTATCTATCGTTTTACGTCAAATAGACTGAAATTTTTAGGTTTTCGCCTGTTTTGTTTACATTTTACTCGATACATTTTCTGACAGAATGGTTTCAACAACAGTCTAAATTCACTGTCAGCTTTRAAGACATGGATACAAGTTAATTAAACAAATCAAATTTTTACGTGTCCATAAGGAAGAAAGATGGCAATTATTACAAGAAAACGACTTTGCTGTCAATTCGAGCGGCACTCGACCGCCATCTTCAATCCCCACCACATACCATTTTCCGAAAATGCAGTAGTTAATTATTTTACAATCTTCACAACGCTTAGGATTTGCTTTTCTTGGATTTTGTCTTTGTACTTCAGAAAGACTGCCCACTATTGTGGCTTTTAAAGTCTTCGTAGAGTTAAAATATTAAGAAAAAGAATTTGTTAATAACTGACTAGTCTAAATATATTTTTTTCATCAAAACACCTAAGTTGTTTTGTTGTCAATAGGTTAAAATTGAAAACAAAATGTAGATTTTAACGAATATTTAGCTATTCCAGAAAAGGTTGAATACTGTATATGTTTAATATGCGACAGCAATACATTGCTGTTACTTATAACGTCCTCGTTAGCTGCTTTACACGTTGATAATTCTAAACGGAATTGCTCTCCATTTAACTTATGAATTGCATTGCCGATAAAACTCATTTTAAACGACAAACAATGCAGACATTATTTTTTAGTACTCGACACATTTTCTGAAATATTGCATAGTAATCTCATCGTAATAATCAAGTTTAGGTGCATAGCACTTTGCAAGCAAATGGAACTTGCCTAGAACAGCCTGTGTCAAGCCATCTCATCCGCCCTGCTTGGTATTTAAATGCGCAATGCTCATTGCCCCCGTCATTATTTGGCTCGCTATCGTGCCAGTTTCGGTAATTGGATTTCGTTCCATCAAACCAAACAAAGGTTCCTTCTTTACTCAGATCATTCAGTCCAATCCAAACAAAACCTCCCTGACGAACACCTAGAAACAGAGTGAAGAACCGTTTTTCTCTATTCATTCGTAAATKAATCTCTTACAAGATCTGTCTATAATGCAAATCTTACACAGCTTCAGGAAATAATCGATGAAAAGGATCATGACATCTTGCGCAATATAAAAAAAACTTACCTTGTAGGTACTGGTTAAAAATACCCTCTTCCTCGCTGTCGACAAAAGACACCAGATCTGCCCCCGCCATCATTTTTTGACACCGCTTTCGAGCTTCTAGAGCGTTCACAGGCTCGTTAACAAACTTATAGGCTGCAGACTTGCTTCGATACCAACCATCTGAAGATAAAAGAACATATCCGTATATGGTGGACAGTACTGGTTGGAATTGGATGGGAGTGAATGAGAATGGATAAGAGTGGATGAGACTGCTATTATTGCCGTGTAATTAATATAGTTTGCTCACATCAATTATTTACAAAAGAATGAAAAGGAAAACTCGCGACCACAATTATCACTGAAACGACTTTCTTGTATCCAAACCAGCTCTATCTGTTAAAACGATCGCACTTCAAGAAAATGTACTAGTTAGTCTGCATCTTAAGACTTCATTTATTTATTAGAGTAAAAGCCTTGCAATTTATCGATAGAGGGATATTATCAACAACATTATCAACAACAAAGTAACGACTCGCCTAAGCTGACGTACTTTCATTAAGACATTGGGATGAAKAGATAGCCAGACATAACTAACCTTTTTGAAAGCAAGCATTTGACCAATCAGGCTTGAATACCTAAAATAAAGGTAAAAACAAAGTGTTTGGGTTGTGTGTGTGTACTAACACATACCAAACAATTGTCCTATTGAATAATTACGTCACACAAAAACATGCCATTGTTTTAAGGCTATGGACTATGGTCGCCATAGGGGMTTGGAGTGACTGCCACGCCAAGAAAGGTGGCGTTATCCACACGAATAAGGGACTGTGCAATAACTACCAGGAGGGGCTGACGGGGTCTGTTCTGCTAAATAACTGTTATTGTATGAATTTGTGCCTGGGAAAGGTTTTCAATGTCCAAAAAAGGCTCAAAAAGGCTTTATGGTCAAAAAGGACTTTGATGTTACTTGTGCTTGTTATGTCTAATAAATCATTTTAATTCCACATCAACGAGTTTTTGAATTTAGATTTCCATTAGTACGTTTAGTTTCAAAATGGATTTTTTATAAAAAAAGATAACCTAACAACAATCTTTAGCTAGCAGATGATCAGTGTTGATGATAAACCTTCTTAAAACTGTAAAAGTAATATCAATATCATTAATTGTCAATTAAAGTTGTTTTTGTCATTTTCTACAATATATTATGGTTGTTATATACAGCCTTTTWCAAAAATTATGAGAATTGTTGAAATATCTAAATATCATAATATCGAGTGCATAATATCAAGTGCATGATGGGTAATCCCACGCGATGCCCTTAGTCCCTTGTCTTTGTAGTTTAGTTTTTTTTTTGGCGACAGACTTATCCGTAGTTCTGAACATTTTCTCGATGTCAACAATGAATTATTCTAGCAAACCCGCGTGTTCTGGACAATATATGGATATGGATATTATGATATTTAGATATTTAGACAATTCTCATAATTTTTGCAAAAGGCTGTATACGTTGAATTTAAGATAAAGAAAAAAATGAAAATTTTGAATAAAACTTCCCCCCCTCTGCTAGTTAGGTAATTTTACTTTGATTCCCCCCTGTCTTGACATCAATT